TCTTGATTGGCAGGTCTGTACATTCAGGACACAGTGCTACCATATGTCCATGTTTTCCAGTTTTTTGTGTTGTTGATGCTATTCTATCATGTTTGCTTTTGTAGGTGGGTTGGCATTTTCCCCTTATAGCTTTAATGCAGTTTCTTTGCTTTGTAGTGTTGACATCTTGACTAGGATAGATCATGGTGCAAGAGAGAGAGAGAGTCCTCCTATTTGGGGCTCTAAATGCCTCTTGTGTTTGTATGTCTATTTCTTTTTATAGACTTGGAAATTTTCCTACCATAAATTTATTGAAGAAACTAATACATTTTTAGATTTTTTTTTTACCTCAACTTTTTCTTCTTTTGTGAGGATGCTTGGGTTTGGTCTCTTGAACGTGTCCTGGGTTTTGGTCATGCTGACCAAAGAACTTTTCTTTGTATATCTGAATGGATTATCATCTTTAATTTGCCCATCCCTTGGTAGTCTTTCTTCTTCCCTTTCCAGCATGGCTTCGTTTGATGATAGCGAGCACTGTTATTATTTATTTGATTGACACTTTGACTCCCCACCTTTCTGTTCTGCTCGTCTCCGTCTTGAGCCGAAGGGTCTGGGTGGTTTTGTCTGTTGTCAACATTGCTCGACTTTTCATCTATTTCTCTAACTCTCTGCTTTGGGTCCCGTGGTAGTTTCTCACTTCACTCATCTGATTCTTTGTAACTTTTACACAGTTTTCCATTCTTTTTTAAACCTAGGACTCTGAAACATGTTGTCCAGTATTTCATCCACCATCACCTTTAGCTCTGGTCTGGGAGAACTGTTGTCTTGTGGCTGTTTTCCTCTCTCTCCCTCCCTCCCTCTCTCTCTCTCTCTCTCTCTCTCTCTCTCTCTCTCTCTCTCTCTCTGTGTGTGTGTGCATGCACATGTGTGCGTGTTTTGCACTTCCATTAGTATGATGTGATCCCTGGCTTTTTTTTCTTCACATTTCCAACACTCTTTGATGGACTTTTTTCAAGCTCCTCTGGCAAGCTAGTTCTGTGCTGATGCTTCCTGAACTGGGTACTAGCAGGGAGGTACAGCTTAAGTACGGTCATGCAGTTACTTTTACTCCAGTTCCCATAGCTCTGTGTTGCTCTGGCCATCGATCCGTCCACAGTGATTCTAGCTCTCGACTCCAGCTCTGTAGTCCAGCCAGTCTCTCTTTTGCTTGTCTTTATTATGGTAGTTGGGTTCAGCTGGAAGCAGTGCTTCCCTGGCCGCTACTACTGACCCCAGCCTGGGATGAGCACCGTAGAGTTTCTGTGGAGCAGCTGCTCCTGGCTGTTTCACCAAGATGATTTTTCTAGAGATCACCATGGCTATTTTTTTTTTCCTCTGTTACTTGTTTTCATTTTCCCATGGTCCTTTGTGTCTTTCTGATGTTCTTCTGACCTTTCTCTTATGGGAATTTGTTGCGTGTAATTTAAAAAAAAACACGCTTCTTTCTGCCTTTCCTGGGAGCTTGGCCAACACTCTGGCTCCTCCTGGCTTAGTCAACCCCACTCTCTTTGCCTGGGAGCTGCCCCTGACCAGCTCACTCTCAGCTGGCTTCTCTTGTTTCTCCTGGCTTAGCTTCGCCAAGCCTCCAGCACAGGAACTCTGGCCCCTCCCTGCTTCGTTTTGTTCCTCCCAGTGTAGCTCTGCCAAGCCGCTGTCATCAACCTGGCTTCTCTTTTCTACAAGCCTTTGTTCCTGGAGGGGGTTGTGTTACCAGCCCCACCCGAGACCTGTAAGTCGCGGGGGAAAAACACACACACATTCAGCTTTATTACTTAGAATCTGCCGGCTAGCACAATTGCTGAACATAGACTCTCCTGCCCTAAACTTATCAGCTAGCCTGTATCAGCTAGCCTTCTCTGATCTCCTTGGCTATCCGCTGGTGGCAGAGGCCATTGGTTCTAGCTTCCCAGAGATCTTACATGATTGTTTCATGCTTCTCATTCCAACGCCTGTCCAAAACAAAAACAAAAACAAACAAACAAACAAAAAAAACCCCACCTTTTTTCTTCAGTCTCCTTTTCCTCCTGGGACTCAGAAGTCCCATCTGTTCCTTCTGCCCAGCAAATTGATTGGCTCCCGGCCTCCTTTAGTGACCAAATCAAGGACTAATTAGGAAACCAGACTTTAGTATCAGCACCTCCTCCTACACGAATTCTAGTCATTTTATCTTGACTCTTCTACTTCACTGGGGCACATAGAGGCAGCTTTTCATCTGTCACCATACCCAGAAATCCTTTTTTATTTACCTTTGAGATAGAGTCTTGCTAGGTAGTGTATGTTGGCCTGGAACTCACAGTATTCTTGCTTCACCCTCCCTGGTGCTGTGCATGGGCCATCAACCTAAGGGCCTTGGAAGATTCTCTCTTGAGTCCTTGGCTTCCTTGGCTAGGTGATCTGTTCTTTTCTGCTGTAGCTTCACAGCCAACTTCAATGGTACCATTATGTAACTGTTACTCAGCACTTCTGACCCCAGTCTTACTTTCACCTTTTATCTAGTGTGCCCCTTTTCTCACTTGCATAGTCTTATTTCTGAGATAATGTTTCATTATTTCTTTTTATGGCACAGGCTCCTCAGCACAGTTGAATGCCTCAGGGAAGCTTGGATGGGGGTGTACTACAGGTTTCTTTGCCTTGGGGTCCAGCTTCATAGTCTTCATCCTAAGTGGCTTGTCTCTACCCTCATATTAATGTCTAGTGTTCTTGGAAGAATTCTTCAGTCTACAGTCTTAGAAAAGTTTTAAATGGTTAGATACTACTTCAGTTTGCAAAGTAAAGTCAACTGCTGTACCAAATGTCTCAGAACTGCTAGGTAGGCCTTGTTAATGTATAGTGATATCTTTAGATAACAGCCTTTTAAAGATAATTTCCCTTGTTGGAGGATGTTTCAGTAACTCCCTGAATGATGGGTGGCCATTCTGTTTACCATCATCAATCTCAGAGTTGCTTATTAATCTTTTGCACAGAATTAAATGTCATCCTAACAACATTCAGATCCACCTGTGACCTAGCTTCCTTCTTGTAAGGAACTTCCTTGGGAGCAGACACGCTTTATGAAGAGCACTTGCTATTGCTTATTGAAAATAATATGACATTACCTGTGACTTTAGTGACATTTCTTGGCATCTGAGTGTAGGAATTGGGGTAGGCCATGTGATGAGCCCAGGATCGGGCCTCTGGTAATTGACATGAAGCAGACACTGAATCTTAACTTCTGTTGTACACAGAGCCCTTTAGTGACACTGCAAGCAGCATGGGGATGGGATGAGGACAGTGGTATAATAGCAAGTGGCAATTAATTATACCTCTTATGGGATGACTTTCTATCATTACGAGAAGCTAAATCTGTATCCTCATTACAAACAAAATGGACTGGACATGCCTCATATTTTTCTCTGCCTCTTGTTTTCTGGGAGGGAGTCTAGGACACAGATCTAAGCTAGGGCCAGGGGATTAAGACATAGTACTGCAGTTGGTGGCCTATGAGGATTGAGCTAAAGGAAGAGCGAATTGGTTAGTATCTGTACCCAAGGCATAATGTTCAAGACCTGCTCAGCTCAGCCTTCATGGTGGCTGAGATTATTGCTTTGAACACATATCCTGGGGTGTCTAAAGTAGAAGTTAAGGTATGGGGGACAGATGCACTCTGAGCCTCCTTGGTGGAAATCATAGACTTTAATTATTAATGGACATTTCTGATTTGTTGGTTTCAGCCTATCGGTGCTGGTTGAAGTGCAGAGCTCAGAGAGGAACAGCCTTGACTTGACTATTGGAAGAACAGCTGTCCCCAGGCTCTGTCTTCCTGTTTGCTCAAACTCTCCAAATATAAGAGATTGAGAGTGTCTATTTCTTTATCTGAGGTCCACATGAGTGACAGGAAAGGGGAAAGGTGAGACCAGGAACAATCCATTTGTCTGCCTGTCTGCCGCCACCGCCGCTGCCGCCGCCGCCTTCTTCTTCTTCTTCTTCTTCTTCTTCTTCTTCTTCTTCTTCTCCTCCTCCTCCTCCTCCTCCTCCTCCTCCTCCTCCTCCTCTTCCTCCTCATCTTTTTCCTTCTTCTCCTCCTCTTGCTTCTCCCCCTGCTCCTCCTCCTGTTCCTCCTGCTCCCTCCTCCTTCTTTGAAACCAAGTCTCAATGTATCCCAGGCTGGCCTTTAATCCTAGGTAGCCCAGGATTACCTTGAACTTCTGATCCCATTTTTTACCTCTTAATATTGGAATTGTAGGAGCATACCACCATGCCCATTTAACTCATTTTCTCTTACTTTTCCCCATGCTAAAGTTTTCCCTCTAATAAGAGCAGAGGTCTTAAAGGCAGATCCCAGGCCAAGAGCCAGGAGTTGCCACATCTGGTTTGAGACTAGTTTATCTCACTAAGTACCCTTAAGAAAAATCTTTTCTCACCTGAGAATTGTGGTGCCCTTTTGGCTTGCATATGCCTTAGAATGCAGGAATTTCTTATGTTGTCTATGAGGTACAGAGGCAGGAGATACTCCTGGTAATAATGTCTCTTTGTTATCTTAGTGAAAAGACAGAATCTGGGAGGAGATGGCGTCTCTTCCAGTGATGTTTATAGAAAGGCTGTGGCCTGGCTCTCAGCATTTAGTAGGCACTGAAGCCTAGTGAGTTCTCAGATGTTTTGTTTGAATCAAGAAGAGGGGGAAGGAGAGATGGAGGAGAGGAGAGCTACACTGACATCCTATCCTATGGGTAGAAAGAGGGTTCAAATGGCTTTCCCCCCCTGAAACGAGCCCCTACTCTGAACCCTCTTCTCTCAGAGATGCTTCTCAGGCTCAACTCCTCATTTCCACCTTACTCTTTTAACAGAGAAAAGAACTCCTCACCCTCCTTCCTAAACAGGCATGACTAGGCCAGGCTTTGATGGCCAAGGAAGGAACCAGCACACCTCTGAGGACAGGAGGGAAGAGTCTAGGTGATGGGTGAGTGTGGGCTGCAAGTGGATCAGTGTGATTCTCAAGTTGATTGTCACAGGCAGGGGTGGGTGGTCAGCACTGCCTAGGCTTCCTGGGGACCATCGTGGACCTGCGCAGCTATGGTGCTGGACTGAAGCAGGAAGGCTGAGTAGGCCATGTCAGCTTCCTCCTTGGATGACTAGGGAGCAACAGAAGAGGTGTTAGTAGATGACCCGAGAGAGCAAGGATGTACACCAGATGTTCTGAGTTTACCGCCTCTGCTGGAGCAAAACACACTTCTGAGACCTCACTCTTAGCCAGCCCCCGGGCTCAACAGGAAGAGATAAATTTTGAGTAATGGAAAGTTGTAGCCTCTAAAAATATCCCCCACTGTCTCACTACCCCCTTATGCAAAGTGGGATGGAACACTCTTTGTTGGTGGGGCCTGTCCCCAGAAGATATGCTCTCGTAGTCCACAGGCAAGGTGGCCTAGGTTGTTGTCAGCCAAGGTGTCCTGTGTTTTCTTCCTCCACGACAGTAGAGAGGTAGCATGTTAGCATTGTCCTGATGACAGGGACTCATCTCTAGGACTAACTTCCACATGCTAATCCTGCTAAATGTATGATGTTTGATGGTATCAGGAGGAACAGATATAGTAAATAATGTCAGTGCCCCAGGATCAGAAGCAAAAGGACATCATAAGAAACCTTAGGAAGGCAAGATAGGAGAGTACTTTGCAACCCCATGGTAGGTAGGAGTTGCCTCTTCTGGGATTTCATAATACTAGTTGGGATGGGCTAGGGCTTTTAGTGATGATCAAAAAACCATCATCAATGAATGCCTTTCAAGCTCAGGAGAAAGGATAATCCTGAGGAAATTCTCAAACGAAGATGTGTGATTCATGAAATGGCCCTAGGGCCCCACAGCTCAGGAAGACCACCCACTCAGTCCTCACTGCTAACATGTGACTCTCCACACGTGACTACATCTTTTGCAGGTTCGCAGCTTGCAAGTGAGTTCTGCTCCTTCTTAAGCTCCAGCTACACCAGTCAGTACCCACACCCAAAGAGCCTGTCTCTTCCTCAGAAAGTCCTCCTGGAAACTGTATTTATAACATCTTCCTTGTTTGGGGGCTAGAGGTCAGCCTTCATGTGGTGGTGACTTTATCCTGATATCTAACTGCAGTCTGAATTTCCTGTCATACAGTGGGACATCTTTCTCTCTTACCCTTTTCGCTTTCTTGGATTCTTCTGGCTCAGCAGTGCACTCAGTGGTAGTCACGACTTCTGTATGGAGAGAGAGAGAGAAAGAGAGAGAGAGAGAGAGAGAGAGAGAGAGAGAGAGAGAGAGAGAGAGTCTTCAGCCCTTATCCATCTCTCTTCCTTCCCGGATAGGGGCAGATCCAGTTCTGTTCTTTCAAAGCCTGGGCATTCTAGAGATACATACCATCTTTTCTTTCGATGACTGTTTCCTGTGTGTCTGGAGAGGCCCCCATATTGTCATTGCCTCCCAAATCCCTGGAGTTCTTGAAGTCTGCCATGCTAATGTCTGTCCGGTAGCTGCTGATTGACATGCGATCTGTTCGGCAGAAGAGTCAGTGTGGGAGTAGGGCCATGGGTAAGGAGATCAGGGTGTGTTGCTCTCTCTGAGAAGACCTGTCACATGCCTCAACCGTGGGATACCAAGGAGTGCTACATTTTGATGCTTACCTCCAAATTAAAATAAAAATAGTCTGCTTCCCCCCTTTTGGTAGTCAAGACTCTGGGGCCTTTGCCAATCTGTAACTCAGTTCACACAACTCCATTCTAGCTTAAATCAGCGCTGTAAAGGGGTTGTTGAGTGTCCCATCTTGAGCCACTGGGCAACGGAGGAATAGAATGGGCCATACCAGAGTCACATAGCTGATTAGCTGAGCTGGAGGTGGGGCAGGGAGCATCCTGGGTACTCACCTACATTCTTCCGATGTCGGACTCTGGCCACCCACACAGCCACAGCACCCACTGCTAGCACCAGACCCAGGGGCACCAGAGTGGCGAATAGCACTTTGGAGCTCCCGCTTTGTCCTTCAGCACTGCAAGAGGGATTAAGTCAGCCCATTACTGAGAGTGAGATCATCAGAATGCGCTGGGAGGCTATCCCAGCTAGAGCATCCCTCACCCCAGTCTATATTTTTGATGTAGTTCTCAAGTCTGTTTTGCTAAGGGCCACCTCCCCACTCACGCCCTGAACCAGCAAGTCAAGGAAGGACCTGGCCTTCTTTATAATCCAGGCTTGAGATATTGAATTGGTCTGTTCTAGTTATGAGAGAAGGGCTATGTACCTTCTCCTTTGCTGACACTTGAAGGCTATGAGAGCTGACCGTCTGCTGTTCTCCCCCACACTCTGCTACTTGCTTCTAGTGATTCAGACTTGGTGCTTGGTCTCTGGAGTGTTCTCTACGTGGGGAATCTGCTCACCTGCCAGCATCCCCAGATGCTCTGTTCTCCTGAGCTTGGTCTCCCACATTGTCTATCTCTCTTTGGTCTGCAAAAAGCCTGGGGTTCAGAATGGCTTTGTTCTCATTCTCACTGACAGAAGATTCCACTACCTCTTCTTCCGGAGCAACTTTTGCAGGTGCATTTGCATCTGTTGGGTTGATGTGGGGTGACCCTGGAGCAGAGCAAAACAAAGCTGGTTATGGTTTTCCCTCTGTGTTCTTATGCCTGTGGGTTACAGGGAGATTGTGGGGTGAGACTTTAAAGCTACAGAGGTAGGCCTTTTTTCTAGCACTAGAGTTAGAGGTGAAAACCTTCTCTAGATCTCCAGATACTATTTCTACTCTTACTGCTCCGACGCCGTGGTTACCTCTTCCTTAGTCTCTACCCTGTGGTCATCACATTCATTTCTGGCATCAAGGATCTATGTAACAGATCCACCTGTGACAACAGGCTGACAGGGAGATTTTCACAGCACTAAAATCCTGCCCCAGGAGCAGAATGAGACAGGGCTGCCTCCAGGCAGCAGTTTAACAATGGCTTCTATTCAGTCAGTCTCTCTGTCCTCGGACTTCCTGTGATTTCCAGGGACTAAAAGGCTCTCCCCATATAAGATAACTTATGTGATGTTTTAAACAGAGGCTGGAAATGCAAACTTACCAGAGAAGTTTGTTTTAATTGTTTTCTTTCCTCTTTACTCTTTTGGTGTCAGCAACTGAACCTGGGGCATCGTGTATGCAAAGCACATGCTCGAATCCAAGCTATACACTCAGTCCCGACCCTCTGTGTTCTCGATTAAGATGCAGCTACCTGGCCATCCTTTGTGAGCAGTCTTGTGCAGATGCAGGAGGATGAAGCGCATTGATATGAGTCTGACTCTGAGATTGCTATGTAGGATTGCTGGATGGAGAGGGGGCTTCAGTCTGGTTTGAGAGACACTTATGAGACTTGTCTTAATACTGAGATTAAAAGAAAAGCCACCAGTATTAGCTCTCCTACTCTTTCTTTCCTATAGGAAAATCTGAAGATTACCCCTGATGGAAAAGCTTCTAGGCACGGATCTTTCATAAGCCCTGCCATGGGATGCTGTGGGTGCTGGCACCGACTGTCCTTGGGACTCACCTCTGGTCCTCTCTTCAACTGCTACATAGATGGCTGTAGTTTCTCCATAGGCCTGGCCTTGTTTTACCCCACACCAGTACCAGCCTTCATCTTCCTTACTGACTGGGTTCAGGGTCATAGAGATGAGCTGGCTGCTCTGGTCGCAGCTCATAGAGGCCTGGCGGGCACTTTCGTCGTGGCTAGGCAGGATGTGGCAGCCTGCATTGCTCCATTTGCACCAGTATTTCTCCTGGGAGTAGTATTTGCATGGATAGTGGCAGGAGATTGTGAGGGTCTCTCCTATCACCGCAATCGCGTTCTGTGGTGTCACCTCAAGGTTTGGCTCCCTTGTTGCTAGGGGTAGAAGGGTGAAAGGAAGACAAGGACATAGAAATTGAGACTTGGAGATAGATGCTATAGAGGAAGGAGAGTGGTGACTTTAGTGTGTGGTGTGTGTTTGCCTGAAGCTAGCATTGTAATACACTGTTCTGAATATGTAAGAAGCAGAAAGCTATGCTAATAGTATGACTACTGACCACTATATCAGTCCAGAGTCTGATGTAGAATTTACAGCCTTGCTCACTGGCTTCTGCTTGTCTCCCTTACTCTATTTATTTATTTATTTATTTATTTATTTATTTATTTATTTATTGGCTTAGTACAGAGAGCCATGTCCAATATTCCACTTCAGAGGATATCTATCTACTGCAAAGGCTAATCCTTCTGATACCAGGAAGTGTGGCAAGTGATGATTGAAAGAACATAGGGTCCTGGTCACAGGTATGGAAATGTGACCTCCGGACAAGAAGGTCCTTCCTACACCTGCATGGATGGAGCTAGCTTAGCAGAAAAGATGTCTAGGGGATGTGACTACTGCTATCAGGATGGCCTTCAGCCTCCTCCCTCCACCTGTTGTAGGTCACCTCTCACCTTCAGTAACCTGGAGTTCTATTGTGGTTCTCCAGCGAGAGTCACCATTGGTAAGACACCAGTAGAAGCCAGTATCCTGGGTGGTGAGTTGGTTGAGGATGACAGTGTAGGTGCCATTGCCTGGCTGATCGAACAGTGCCAGCCGGCCTTCATACCCTTCTTGTACCAGGTCCTGGGTCCCCACAAGCACCGGGCAGCGTCCGTCTGTTTCCCAGTGACACCAGTACTTGAGGCTGCTGCTTTCCTTGGGATTATAGGGGCAGATGATGGCCACAGAGCCTCCTGTGAAGCCCTTCACCACAGTGCGACTGTTGGGAATTGTGGACTCTGGAAGTACAGAGCAGGATAGTGTGAAAGGACCGATTACCCAAATCGCCTTGTGTCCCCCAAGCATCTTTTCTCCCCATGACGTCCACTATGGAGTGAGAAAAGTTTAGACATATCACCAACCCCTCCTGAGAAAATGAAAAAAAATATTTCATTTATTTCTGAGTCTATAACCAGAGTCTGGAGGCCAGACTCCAATGACTCCCGAGTGGGTTTCTCATTCCTCTCTTCCCACCTCATTCTCGGCAGGGAATGAAAAGCATTTAAGAGATAATTTTAATCCCACTCCTTTGACTTCTTATCAAATATCCCTCTAAATAAGCATTTAATATATTTCTTATTCTAAATAATGGCTCAAAGTATTGTACCTAAATTAAGAAAATATCTTTGGAATGGATCTACTTTAAAATATAAACTAAAACTGTGGTATGATTTTAGGAATCAAAGACCCCAAGAGTCATCTTCAAGAGTACAGTGGTTAATGAAGACCTCCAGAGAGAACCCATGGTGACTGAAGATGTCAGGGATGTGGTGAAAACCCAGAGTTGGGAATAGAAAAACGGTGTCAGGAACATAGTCTCCTTAAAGAAAAGTCATCAGACCAGGTACTTTGAACTTCAAATACTGGCTTCCTGCTTCTTATGAGGAGGATTCTGTGCACTGTGCTCTAGGGTGAGAAGGAGCAGGGGTTGAATTCTGTCTGATGACTCGTGGAGGTCTAGCTGTTGAACCAGATTGTGCTGCGTAACAAATAACCCTAAGAGCTGTGAGAGTGGACTCTTTAGATGTTGGTGTATTGCCTTTCCTGGATGCTTTTAAGAACATTGGCATTGGTGTGGCAATGTTCTTCCATCTGTGTGTGAGGAAATGAGGTACAGCTTGCTCTGGAGTTGGTTGGGGTGGGAAGGAGGACATGGGCCTACCATTGATACTGAATCCCATCTACTAGTCAGGCTCCCCAGAGAAGCTCTATTTTCCTTATTCTTGTTAGCCAGGGATAGCTATCAATAGGTTCTTGATAATACAGAAGAATAATTGGGCAGACAGATGCTACATTTTCTAGCTCTCATGAACTGACTCCCACATTGTACTTTTCACAACTTTCCAGCAAGTAGATACTACTGATGGACATGAACATCAAGGAATACATCAGAGGGGTAAGCTAGTATCTCACCTGCCATCCCATGCCACCCCACCTTGCTTCTCTTCTGGAGGTTCTCACCTTCATTGACAAAGAGTTGCCAAGTCTGGATGGGCCAGCCTTCTTGAGGCAAACCAGAACTGGTGGCTCCACACCGGTAGTGCCCTGCATCCTCCTTCTTCAGGCCTGTGATCAACACACTGAAACGGCCATTGTCATCCCTGGGGGTTAGCAGGATCCTGCCTTCAAAAGCTGGATCCCTCGCCCCAAGGGTATTGATGATCATGTCACAGGTTTCCTTGTTCATCCGGCACAGGTATTTGGCCACGTCTTTCACCTCACGACCCAGGTCACATTCAAAAGTCACTGAGGACCTCAGGTCTTTATAAAGCAGGACTGGCTCAGGCTCCAGCACCTGGATGTCAACATTCTTTTTATCAGCACTAGAACCTTCTCCAGCTTGGCAAACATACAGCCCAGCATCACTATGCAGTAGGTGACTAATATCGACATAAAATACTTTTAGGTTGGTCCCTTTCGTAAAAAGTTTTGCTCTGCCCTCATAGCTGGGGTTAATGTACCCAGTAGAGTCAATGATAAGTTCACAGGTCTGGTCTGTCATCTTACACAGGGATTTCTTGCTAGGAGCATTCTTCATTTCAAAAGGGCATTCAATGGTCACATTTCTGCCTATGTCCTTTGTGTAGACATGGGTGTCAATTGGGACCTCAGGAACTGTGGAATGAAGGACAGGGGTAAATTATCATTTTTGTTTTGTAACATTGTAATGTTAGTTATACTCAGTGAGGGTTCTGGGTAGTCTAGTGACTTAGAATGCCCTAAAGGAACACTGTCAGAATTTTTCTATAGGAACCCGTGCAACGCTACACCAAAGAAAAGACCTCCAAAGCAAAGGTTTTACTTCGATTCTCCTGCCCTTGTTTCTCACACCATTCATCCCAAAAGCAAGCCATCGAGCCCAGAGTTCTTCTTCCCAAAGGCAGACCATAGAAACCATGACCCCTTTATCCTAAAGCCTCCCACAAACCATAAAAATATTACTTTAACCTCCCCATTCTTTTTTTTAAGAGCTTCCCCAAAAGAACCTCCTGACCTTCCATTCTATATGTTAAGGTCTTCACTGCCCAGTCTGCCTCGCACCCCAACAAAAAGCACTACAGCTGAGGGGCCAGAAGAATATGAGCAGATGGACCTTTCTGGGTTTTCCATTTATACTACTCCCCCGAGTTCTCACATATTTTGTCCTATCTCATCTCTGTCTGGCCACTCCTGCTTCACGAAACCCAAGATCAAATCATATCTTTGCATGGTTATTGTGAAGGTTCCTATGAATGTAAAACTTCAATAAATGGGGCTCTGGGGAGATAGAGTAACAGGTTAGAGCACTGGATACTCTTCCAGAGAGGACCAGGATTCAATTCCTTGCCCCTAGATGGTGGCTCACAACTGTCTACAACTCCAGTCCCATGGGATCTGACACCTCTTCTGGCCCCTGAAGGCACCAGGAACTCACCTATTACACAGAAATATATGCAAACAAAATATTCATACATATAAACTAAATTAATTAATTTTGATTAATTCAACTTGGTTAAATGAGGCCATGTATTCCCTTGTTAATCTGTCTGTTGTTGAGGTCTTAGCTGTGACTTTTGTAAGTGAGGTCAGCAATCAGCCATCCATTTCCTCCCTCTGCCAGGGCCCATCCTGACTTCCGTCTCCTCAGGAAGGGCTTCTGTAAGCTGATGCTAATTTTTCCCTTCTCTGTGTCCTCCTGAACATCTTCGTTAGTCATCATGTCTGGTCTAAGCTCTACCTCTACAGACCAGAGAACGGAGATATTCTCTTTACATCTGTCCTCTCTGCTGTGACTCAAACAGCATTTATATTCAGTAGGTGCCAAGTTAATATGTAGAAACAAACAGAATTGAATGGGAATTGTCTAAAAACAATAGTCCAAATATTTTGGGTTGCCTTGTGAAGCAGAGCCTGCTATTGGAATCAGAGCCTGTATTCCTAGTATCTGTAGTGTTCTTCTAGGTATCTAGATGGGGCCAACTGTGAATACCTTTCAGCTCTTAGGAATCTGTGGAGCACAGAAACAATCTTCTTATTTAGTGTATGGCTGATGGCACGCATATCCCAAAGAGCAGTGCATATCCTTCAGAGCCCTGCATATTTACTTCCTTGAGTTTTTTCTTTTAACTTCTGGACAAGCAGAACTCCATCAGTGGTGAACTCTTATCAGAAAGCCCTTTTCTTCCTCTCTTCTTTCAGTTACAGTGGGATTGTTTGAAAACCAACCACTTCAGGGGCCTAGACTTTAATTAAAAAATTAAATTTATGCTAATAGTTCTAATGAACTAATGAATCCCACTAAAATCCATTTATGGAGAAGTCTTCTGTGGCCCAAAACTCTCTTGGTGTACTTTCTTCCTTGTTAGATGTTATAGATGTTCTATAAAGTGATGACAGACATAACTCCTCCAAGGCTGATGAAGTGGGAGGTTTTAACTGTAGACATGAGGGAAAGAGAACAGCATAGGCATCTGGAAAAGTCCAGAGCGAAAGTAGAAGACTGAACATGGCTAGCAGGCTAAGAGAGAGGCAGGAGCAGAGTAGTGTGTGTGTGTATGTGTGTGTGTGTGTGTGTGTGTGTATAGTGAGGCAAAGAAAGTATGAACCAAAAAAAGGGAGCATAGCTGAAATAGCATGGCATACAGAGAAAGGAGTAGCTGGGGGAGAAAGGAGTAGCTGGGGGAGACGGAAGCCCATGATCTGATTAGGGAAGGGGAGGGCCAGGATGCCAGCATGGACTTTGAAATGTATACGAGGTACTTGTACTGCTGAAGGAGGCTGGAGGCCATAATATGATTTGGTAAACTAATAGGCACCACAGATAGCCATTTGTCCCTTCTGTCAGTGGTAAAAGGAAATGGCCCCTTTGGGGAACTGGCTTCAAAAGTTCCTGAGGAATTTCTCCTTTTGTCGGTCATCCAGAATTTGAGGAAAAGGAGTTTCCTTTGGACCTGACAGATATCATGTCTCAACTCTATCAAATATAGCAAAAAATGTCCTCCTGACACCAATTTAAGTGTAAGATGCTTGTTAGAGACCCAGAAGACATGGAAAGTCTCACCCATTTCCCCAAGATATGCCTCAAATGTCTTCATGTTCTATTATGGAAAGTCTTTGCCTGAGAAGGAAGGAGACTTTAGACTTCATGTCAAGAAACCCTTCTGTAGGAGATATTTTCCTTCAGCAAACTCTCTCACTCTACCTGAACTGATTTCCTTTGCTTTCCCCAGAAGCCCAGAATGTCTGAATTCTTACCCTGGCTGACCTCCAGGCTGACATCGAAGGACAGGCCTCGGTTAGTGGTACCCAGACCACACTTGTAACTCCCAGTGTCATCCTGGGTGAGGTGTGCAATGTTAATCACAAATGTGCTGTTCTCTGGGAAGTTGATGAGGTTGGCTCTGCCTGAATACTCCTTGGAGAGGTAGCCATTTGAAGAGATGAGGGTTGTGCACAAGCCGCTGGCTCCTTGTCGGCACCAGTATTTCCGGGTGTGCCGGTTGACAGAGGTGTCTGGGTAGTAGCACGTGATGGAAACCGAGTTACCTTCTATACTACTCACATCCTGGGGACCAAATATGGGGCTTTTTGTGGCGACCCCTGTGGAAACAAAAGACAAGAATTCTAAAAACTGATAGAGGTTGAGAGGGCTGATAAGATCCACATAGTTCATGTGAGGAGTGAAATTTTCTAATTTATGTGTATTCCCTAGTTATTTACATGATATCACAACCACACAACATTGTATTAAATTGCTTAATCATAATTGGGTTCAATTTTAATTGTAATGTGATAAGTAAATAATTTCCATTTTGTATTGGGCATCCATTTTAGTAGCCGTTGGCCTCTGACCTAAGTTCGAAAAGCACTAACCTCCTCCCCTAAATTGTACAACTGTTCTGAAATGATTAACAGTTTGCTCTGGCTTCTGTAAACACGCTTATCACTGTGGGCAGGAGAAACGGCAGTTTCTCATGTAGCTATAAATTCTGCAGAAGTGGAGTAATTATTGTGTTCACCTTTAAAACCTCATCCTCCATCTGCTCAGGTGAGGCTAGCTGCCTGTTAGCAGAAGTAATAAATTTGGCTACCAATAATCTGTAGCTGAGTCTTTTCTTAGTGTTCTGAAACTCCATAAGATTTTTGGAGACTCCCAAGATATCCTGGGAGACCCTAGATGCAGGGCCAGGGATGCAGGATAGACCCAAGGAAGGACAAGTCTGAAGCAGATTTGGAGACTCAGGGGGTACCTGAGACCATGGCTGCTACAAATTAAGGAGTCACTAGTCATAAGCTGGCCCTAGTCAGGGGCAAGTACCATAACTTGGAGTCCCATGGCAAAAAGTTCTAAAGGGAGTAAGTACTTCTGTGGACATGGAGGCCCTGGGGTTCCCCAGACTGTGACCACTGCAAATTTGCAATTGAAACAAAGTGGAAGCAAGGATTGTTGACTGATGTGTGCTCAAGACAGTACTGATCAGTGAGTTGTTCTGGGAAGTCTTGACATCTGAGGAGACATGGAAGAGACTGAGTTTCCAATGAGCTGCATGCTGCAACGTTTCCAGGATCTTCATGAGACAGACTATGGAGTTAAGATGCTATCTAGAAAACTATTCACTCTCTGTGAACTAGAATGGCTTACTTTTTATGTGGGATGGCCAGACGCAGGATCCTCCAACTTCCAAATTGCCAAGAGAGTCTGGTACGTGATCACAGAGAACCCTAGCCAGCCAGACCAGTTTCTTTATATTGTTTGTTAGTTCACCCTCTTCATTAATGCCCCTCCATGGCTGAAATGTTGTGCCCTTAAACAAGGTTCTTCTGTTTTAGTTACCAAGTCAATAAGTCAAAGGTTGAGTAGAAACCTAAGTGAAATACCTGAACTCTCTGTACTGGCCCCTGTGGAGATGGGGTATCCACCCCCCCTCCGTCTTACAATCCATGCACCCTAGTCCAGGATTCAGCTGTATATGAGGGGGACTATGCACAGGCAGTCTTGAGAATCTACCCTGCTCTGTCCTCACCTTCAGGCACTTGGAGTGTGCTCCACCCCAGACAAGTAAGATCTCAGCTATTTTCTCTCTAAGAGAGGCACCCCCTACTAGGCACCAATCCCTGTCAGCACAAGGGCCTTACTGGGAGCAGAGGTCCAGACTTTCTTATCTAGTTTATGGGTTTTTTTTTTTTTTACCATACACCTGTATAATCAGAAGACTCAGAACCTTCCCTTCTCTGAGATGCCTCAGGCCCTCATCAACTTGTTGGAAACTATTTTCTTTCCTAACCAATCCATCTGGGCTGATTATAGGCAGCTTCTAGGTCTCTCTCTCTCTCTCTCTCTCTCTCTCTCTCTCTCTCTCTCTCTTTCTTTTTTTACTGCTGATCAGAGGGATAGAGTAATGTCTGAAGTAGGAAGCCTGTGATGGGTCCAGGGTTAACCAGGGCAGATACAGAAGAAGGAGCTGAGTGAAACTGGGATTTACCAAACTGGGATTCCAACACTGACCAAGATAAGGGGCACTAGACACCTATTTCCAGGCTTTAGTAACTGGAATGAGAGCAGAGGCTCCAACTAATCTCTCAAAGGCATTCAGGGAAATCAGGACTCCCTTGCTGGATTCCTGGAGCACCTCCAGGAAGCTTACCAGAGGTTTACCTCCATAGATCTGGATGACACTAGGAAACCAACAGGATATTAACATTGCTTTTGTCACTTGTTGGGCCTAGCTATTCACAGGAAGTTACAGAAATGAGAACATCTTGAGGGAATGAATAGGTCATAGTTAGAAATCACTCAGAAACTTTTAACAGTAGAGATCCAGATGAGAAGAAAGACAGAATTGTAGTGACTATGTTCAGAGAAGTATCTGATAAAAACAAAAAGGTAGCCTACCTTAGATGATCAAAGTAGCCTTGATCCAGATTGGAGAGGGCCTAATACATATATTCCAAAGATGAAGGACAGTGGAAAAAATAAATGCCCTAATTGTAGGCAGGAAAGAGGGGGCAAATGCTCAATATGACAGGATCAGATTGATAGAGCCAGGGCTCTATACCAATGAGCCCCCAGAAGCCTGTGGTCACAGGAAAAGTAGGGAGTAGAATTCAGGTTCCGTGGGTGCAGCTTACTCAGTGCTAATTCAACTCCTGGCCCCCTTACTTAACAACCACCATCCAAAGGGTGTCAGGGACTGGAACCTATGCTTGGACCATCACCTAAGAAGTGGACCTTGGACAAGGTACTGTACTGAGCACCCTGATTGGTAGAGACTTGTTGAGAAAACTTTGTGCCACCATCGTGTTCAATGAGAAGTAAACCATTCTGGACCTAAGGAATCCATGCCCAGTGATCTTGGTGACTTGCCCTTTATCAGAAGAATATAAAAAGACAGAAAAGAGTAATGAGGAACTGGGAACAGGTGACCCCTTCCTAACAATGCTAAAGTTCCCTAGAGTGTGGGCAGAAACCATGTCCTCTGGACTGGCCTCACTTAGGCTACCAGTTGTTGTTTAGCTCTCAAGCTCAGCCTTGTCTATAAGGGTAAAGCAGTACCCTATCTCAAGAGAAGCTAAGGCAGACATTAAAAGCATGTCAACTACCTTAGAGATGCAGGTATTTTTGGTTCTCTGCCACTCCCCTTGGAACACTCCTCTGCTCCTTGTCATTAAGGCAGGCACCAGAGACTATCATTCTATTCAGATCTTAAGGGAAGTAAATAAGAGAGTGAAAATTATCCTCAAACACTACCAAATTCTTATGCTTTGCTCAGCCAATTTGCTCAAGGAAAAACTGAATACAACATCTTAGACTTGAAGGATGCCTTTATCACTCTGCCTCTGGCACCTGTGGGCCAACAAATATTTGCCTTTGAATGGACAAACCCTGAGTCAGGGTTCAGTGGCCAATTAATCTGGACTTGACTACCCACAGGGGTTTAAGAACCTCCCTACTCTGATGAAGTTCTCAGTACAGATCTGCTTGAGTACCTCCAGGAGTACTTGAATGTCTCCCTCTTGTGGTATGTGGATGATCTCCTTATCACTACACCCTGAAGGAGTGCAAAAAAGTCACAGAGGAACTACTTGAAGGCTTCAGTAGCTGGGCTACTATGTGTCTGCTAAAAAGGCCTGCGTGTGATCTAATAAGGTAACTTATCTAGGAAATTACATTGAAGGCAGCAACAAGAGGACCTTGTCCTCAAGCCTGATCCATGCTATTCTGGATATCCCTGAGCCACAGGATAAAAGGCAGGTGAGAGAATTCTTGGGTATAGTTAGATACTGAAGACTGTGGGTGCCCGACTTTGGGGAAATACCAAAGCCATTATACAAGAGATTGGGTGGAAATGATACTTCTCAGTTAGGAGGGTAAAGAAAGGGAGGCATTCCACAAGCTCAAGGAAACCTTGATGTGAGCTCCAGTGCTCAGGCTACCTGACATTGATAAACCCTTCCAGTTGTTTGTGGATGAATACCATGGAGTGGGAAGAGGCATACTGACTCAAAGGTTTGAATCCTGGAAAAGGCTTGTGGCCTATTCATCTAAATGTCTAGACCCCACGATAGCAGGATGGCCAACTTGCATCTAGGCCATTGCCACCACAGCACTATTGTGAAAGACCATTGTTAAAGGAAACCATTGATAAACTAACTGTGGAACAGGAAGGAGTTGGTGGTCACCATTTCCCACTCCATTGAGACTCTCTTTGAGGAACCTCCGAGCACATCTCACCCATCCTCAGGCTCTTCTTTTAGATGCACCTAGGATCAGATTCTTACCTTCTGCAGAGTTAAACCCAGCTTCCCTCCTGCTCAACCCTGAAGAACAGCCTGAAGAATTACTGTGCCTAGGTCATCAATCACATGCAATATATACCTCTGAAACAAGCCTCTTGGGAAGGCTGATGCAACCTTATTCACCTATGGAAGCAGTTATGTACAGGATGGGTTCTGATATACAGGAGGGGCTTTAGTGACACTCACAGAGGTGATCTGGGTGCAACCTCTGCCTCAAGAAACATCAGCCCAAAAAGCAGAACTGATAGCCTTAACCCAGGCATTGTCAACATCTGTACCATAGACCGCATGCCTTTGCCACCTATGGTGCCTTGTACCAGGAGTAGGGTCTGCCAACCCACAGAAAAGATCAAAAACAAGGAGGAGATCTCTGCTCTCCTAGCAGTTTTTTGGCTGCCAGAGAAGCTTGCTATTATCCATTGTGGAGACACAAAATGGGATTTGGTAGAAACCAGAGGCAACAGATTTGCTGATGCCAAAGCAAGAAGAATAGCCACAGAAAAAGTGAGGCCATATCGAACATTAGACCCTCCACATGCATACATCAGTGAGGAAGAAAACTGATCCAGACAGTAGGAGTTTACTAAAACAGAGGACTGATAGATGTTCCACATGGGGCCCCCATTCTATCAGAAGCTTTGGGGTCCTCCTCTCCTCTCTCAAAGCTATCAGAGTACACATCTGATATCAACCAAATTAAAAGAATTAACAAGGGACAGTCACTTTCTCTGCCACCTACATCAAAGAGTTAAACAAATTACACACAATGTGCCACTTGTGCCCAGATGAATCCAAGAGGAGAAAAAGCAGCATCTCTGGGTATTCAAGGAAGGGGCTTGGTCCCAGAGAACACTGGGAGTTGGACTATATAAGTGACTCCAACAATATTTGGTTATTTGTATTTGCTAGTTTTTATATACTTTTCCAAGATAGAAAACTTTCTCACAAAGTTAGATACATCTCATGTAGTTCCTAAAAACTTACTGATGGAGATTATTATTTCCAGATCTGGCCTTCTTTCCTCTTTAGGGTCTGACTGGCCTGCCTTCATGGCCAAAGTCTCTCAGCAAACACTAAAATGCTAGGATACATTGAAAATGGTCTTTCTCCAATGGGACCCCAGACAGGTAGAAAGAGTTAACAGGACTAATAGAGATATTAATTAAATTGGGGCAGAAACTGGCAAGGGGTGAATCGAACAATGTCCTACTGTTGTTTTTATAATCAGATGTTACCCCTACTGGGATAAGCTACACATTTTGAAATAATTTTTGGCTGTAGCCTCCATTTATTCCTGCAAAGTGAAGGCAATAGACTATAGAAATACCTAATTATTCTTCTTCAAGTTCTCACAGGCATTGCAACAGATGACCTGAGATATCCACAGTTATCTATCACCCCACCACTGGCCTCCGAGTATAGATTCCATCTCAGGGACTTGGTGTGGGTCCTTTGCTTGCCCAGCAGAACTATGAACCTTCCAGGAAGGGGCCATATCCAGTGATCCTGATAACATCCACAGCCATTGAGGTACCAGGTAGTGGGAGTTGAGGCTTAGATCTACCACTCTCATCTAAAGGTGGACATGACCAGCCAAAAGAAAGGAGAAAAATGGAGAGTAATGGGAAATCACCAGCTGCCCTTAAAGGTGCATTTCATCTGCACCTCAGACTCAGACTGACACTAATGTTGGGAATCTTGACAGATATCTTTTATGCTTGACCCACTGAAAATGTTAAGGTTTGGGACTGGGATTTGTCACAGAAACCATGCATCTTTTATCCATGGTCAGCTACTAGAAAAATAATACGTGCTCTCCAAAATGCCTTCCCAGCCTTTGTTTAGATTTGATCTATGTGACCCCTTTGAGGGGTATCTAGTCCAGGATGACAAAAAAAAATGGGTATCAATCACTTTTAAAATATAATATATTTGAGGTGATGTGGTGGTCATTCCCAGGATGTGATAAACATATACTAAATGAAACTGTTTTCCATGTATGTCCAGGTGATGAATCAGCCCATTACCACCAACAAAAAGGAGATTATCATTGTTCTGGAGCAAGCTGTGAGACTAAGTTTGTTGGAGAAAGCATTCAGAAGGCAAGGCAGGCAGATCTCTGTGAGTTCAAGGCTAGTCTGGTCTGCAGAGCTAGTTCTAGGACAGCCAGTACTATACAGAGAAATTCTGTCTCAAAAAACCATTTAAAAAAAAGCCAGCTGCCTCAATCAAAGATGAGGGTGTCTTCCCCTCCTGTCCTCCCTCCTTGGACCACTACACCCGTGGTAATAAATCAGCCTTCAGTCTCCTCCAAGGGGTATATGGTAATAGACTCAACCTCAACCTTAATTCAAAAGGACACAAAATAACATCAGGTTATATTGATAATATCTCCAAGCTTGGAACATTAAGGTTGCACACACCTTGATGAACTGTATCTTCCATAACCTGGGAAATGATTGTTGGTTCTGCCTAGGCTCTAGGCCTCCTTTTTAAGTGGGGATAGGTGTCAATCTCTGTTACCTCAACTGCTACCCAATCTGAGAATTTAAATTGTGAACCAGAGGAAAGTAAGCTCACCCACGGAGACCTCCAAGGAACATAGGTACTTGTTTAATATCTTCAACTTATAGTTACTCAGTTTCCCTTTATGGCTAATCTTGTAGTACTCACATGTACACAAATAAGGCTGAATGGATTAGAATGTACTTTCTTGCTCCTTTAGAGAACATGGTGGGCCTATACATTTGGCCTTATTGGAGGTATAACCACTGGATATCTAGAACTTGGGCCATAGGAAGAGAATCTCTATATTCTAACCTATATCCTTCCCCAAGTAGATGTGTATGGTGGAGAGGGGAGCAGAAAACAATAGCCCATATATAAAGGACACTCCCACTGTGAGGTCCAGGGTCTGGTTAGAAGAAGATATAGTCACACCCCTCCTCATGACTGCAGGGATCACAGACCTGGCTGCCTTTGGAATGACAGCTTTAATTATTCAAGACCATAATTTCTAAATTCTAAACAATAGAATAGATCAGGACATACAACACCTCACAGATTCTATAGGACAACTAGAAAAACAAGTAGATTCCCTAGAAGAAATGGTTTTATAGGATGGTTGGGGATGAGATTTGCTATTCCCTAAGGAGGGAGCCTTTGTGCTGCCTAGGTGAAAAGTCTGTTTTTATGCTAATGACTCAGGAGTTATCCTAGAAACATTAAACATGGTCCAGGAACACTTAGATACAAGAGCAAAGGAGTGTTCCAGGCCTCTAATGGGTGTCAATCTGGTTTCTCTATGTCCAAGTGGCTTACTTCAACTGCCTTTGCTGAACCTATTCTTTTACTCTTCCTTAGTGTTATGATCAACCTTTGAATTTTAAATCAGTTGCTAGCATACATTAAAAAAAGAAAAATAAAAAACAATCAATCCATTAAAATGTTAGTCCTACAGTTTCAGTATCAACCTGTACGTTAGCAGGAATGGGGAATGTGGTGGCTAACAAAATTCCATTTTGTAACAGGCATCCATTTTAGTAGCCATTGCCTTCTGACCTGAATTCCTAAAAGGTCAACCCCTTGTCCCCTCCCCTAAACTGTGTAACTTTTGTGAAATGATTAACAGCTTGTTCTGGTTTCTGTAAACTTGTTTATCATTGTGGGCAGAGGGACTGGTTTCTTGTGTAGCCATGGGAGTGGGGGGTGAAGCCAATCTTCATGTGGGGTGGGGAGGAGCAATTCTTGACAAAGCTATAAATTTCACAGAAGTGGAGTGATTGTGGTGTTTGCCTTTTAAAACTTTTCCCCCATCCTGGTAGTGTGGCACATTTCTGATTTGGCTTAGAGATGGTTGCTCTGCTAGAAAAAAAATAATAAATTTAGCTAATTATAATCTGAATTGAGTCTGTGGTCTTTTCCTGTAGCCTCAAATTCCACAGTAGTAACTCATAAACAATAATCTTTTTAAAGGTAATTAGTGGCAAGCTAGTGGTATCTTAACACTACTTTCGTAGAATGTTTTGCCTTTGCTTTATAATTTCCCTATGTAGATGATTTCCTTTGTTACACTGAGAATGATAAGGGCCAGGAATTTAGTTAATTTCTCCCAAATGCCACAATTCAGAAAAGATGTTTGGTTTGAGGGTTGTTTTTTATTTGTTTTTTGTTTTTGTTGTTTTTATCTCTAGAGAAGACCCTTTACCAGAATTTTCATCTCTGTCTCTGATTACCAGTACTTATTGGCTGATTTTTAGACATGCCTTTTCTTCATTGCCCTTGTGTGACTGTGTCTTATAGGGACACACATCTTGTGAGAGACATTGCTGGGAGTAACTCTGATGTGTATGTCTCCATGAAGTTGGGATCCTAGAAACAAGATGTCTAGGAGAAAGAGTTTGAGCTGGGGAGTTAGGACCATCAGACCTACCTGAGAAGACAGTTACCAAGAGGGTGAGCAAGGAAAGCCTCATTGCTTGTGGCTTCCAAGGGGGTTGTGCCATTAAGGTTGACTTCTTCTTGTATGAGATGCTGAAAGACAATAACCAAAGTAGGTGAAGTTCCTCTGTAACACCTAATTGCTTTCCATATCCAGAAACTGTTGTAAATCCTGTTGAATTAAGGAATGATGCATGGATGGTTCTTCCTCAGTGCTAAGGACTCCCGGTTCTCTCTTCTCTTTCTTTCTCTCAATCGTCTACAATAAAAACCTTCCTCTTAGCCAATATGTGTTCTTAATGGCTCTTCAATAGTGGTAAGTACCTTTGTTTTCTTACCTAAGCTTCGTGTTCCTTTGGGCTAGGGATACGGATAGTGTTCTTTGTTGTCATGCAGGACTCAGTATTGGGCACACATTAACATGGCCCTGTCTTTCCGAATCAGTTCACCCTCCCTATATCTGTAAAGTTGGAGGAGGAGGCTGACATGTTTTTTTGGGTGGTCAAACTGAGACAGGAAGAAGCAGTTAAACAATTCAGGTGTTTGTAAAAGGATACAAAGGCTTGTGAATGTGACAAAATGGTTAACAGTGGGAATGGGCAAAGTGAAGCTGAGGAAAATCTGAGCCCTGGCTTCTCTGCCTTGTCTATTCTCTCAGCCTCTCCTCTGCTTCAGGATTCTGATAGTAGGCTTATACTGGATGCCAGAATGCCTATTGTTTTTCAAACACTATGCTTGATATTATTCTTAAAAATTGACAACATGACCATTCCGTGGAGTGGTTAAGAGGAAGGTTTTTGTTGTGGGGGGCGGGTAAGAAAAATAGCAGGGTTATAAGGAGAAAGAGTAGCTGGGAGAAGGAAACCTGTGAGCTGGAGGAATTTTAGCAAGGAAAGGAGACCTAGAAGAGCTTGAGTGTGTAACAGGTCCTTTTGATACTGAAGGAGCCTGGAAGCCAGCATGAGCTTTGATATGTTAATAGATGCCACAGGTAACCACAATTTCCTTCTACCAGAGATAAGGGAAATGACTCCTTTTGGTAAATGTGGAGCCAGCTTTGCGAGTTCCTGAGGAATGCTGACTTCTGTTCTGTCTAAACACCAAAAATCCTCCTATAGTTCAGGTTGAGCCCATTTTTGGATATTTGGACTACCTTTTGGAGTTTGAGGAATTAGAGTTTCCTTTAGAACCGAAATTATTCATTTGAGTTTTACAAGTACCCTTGAAATAAGACAGACAAAAAGTCATAATCGCAAGAAAATTAAGAGCTTGAGATTATGAGTTATGCCCAAGGTTTCTAATGGTTCCATTATGGGGTCAGAGACAAAATGTAGATGTTATCATCTTTCCTGCCTGGTGAGTTCTGTCAGAAAAAGATGGAGAATGCAAGCAACTCACGTGGACTTTGTACACAGACCAGGGTTAGAAAGGACTGAGGCTTGGGCCCATGTGAGGTTGTACTATCTCAAGGAGCCAAACTATACCCTAGACTATAGGACCTAGAGGAAGAGAGAAGAAAGGAGAGGGGACTCCAACAGACTTTGAGGACTTTGCCTGACTTTAAACTTTGGAATGATTTGATGGAGCTTTTAAAGGAGAAAAACAATGATAATAGACAATAATGAACACTCATAAAGATAAGGAAACTGTAAGCAAGAGGCAGACTGGGTATTATCTCTTCCTTGCTTGTCTCTGACTACTGGTTCCCAGAGACTTCCTTTACTAGTTGAGCCAAGGGCAATAGAGTTGTTTATCTTAGTTATTTCTTTCCTCAAGGGAATTTCCCTGTAAGAAACCATTTTATTTCCTTGTAGAGATAAAGGTATTCTGTTCCTCTAATTCTTTGGAAGAGTTAGGGCGGAGTTGAGGACAGACATGGGTGTCAGATGGCAACTAAAGGCTGTTTTACCAGGGTTAATGGCCCATGCTTTCTTACCAAGTCAATAATAAACTCCTAGAGCCTTAGCCAAACTGAGCTTAATTTGAATGTGATCAGGTGCTTGGTCATCTGAGTGGCAAGACGCTTCCAGGTAGGAGCAACTGTGAGGCCAATCTGTTCCATAACAGTCGGGATGGATGGCGTAACAGTTGGGACCGGTGGTGGTGCCAAGTCCCAAGGACCTTCCCCTTGTGCTGGTCTTGGGTGTAGTCACAGATGGGAAAGCCAAATATTTTCAGCTTTTAAGAGCTCAACCTAGTGATGGCTATCCCTTCTTCTCAGTCTTGTCCTTGATTAGAAAGCAACCTCTAATAGTCATGAGGCAGCACTTGCTCTTTCCATATGCCCAGCTGGGGGTGCTACCCTCCTCTGGGTGAGTGAACTGATTTTCCTTGTTTACAGAGAACCAAATACCAAGTTTTCCATGGTGGGGGACCAGACTTTCTAGCTTGGGCTTATAATCATTTTGCAACACATTTAGATGACTATGTTGGTCAGCTTGGAAGTAGGGAGATACTTGTACACTTCTAACTTTGTGTGTAGCTGGAAGTCAGCATTGGGTATACATTTTCAGAAGGGAAAACCTCGGGGAGGGTCATGCTGGCAAGAAAAACAAGAGTCTACTCCCAGGGCTGATTTTTAAAACGTGAACTCTTTTTTTTTTTTCTTCCCTAAAATTTGGAGCAGGTTCTCTGGTAGCAGCTAAAAAGACTGCAATGTTTAAGTCATTTTCACCTCAGTCAGACTTTTCCCAAAGCCCAGGCGATCCAGAGCTCAGGGAGGCCCCAAGGACAGGGCAACTAGAGATAAATTTAAGAAGGGAAAGAAAGAGTAAAGCACTTACTTGCCCTATCCCCACCCAAGATACTTTGCTAGAATCCTCTCATATGTGATTTAATGTATTAGCACAGATCCTGGGGGGTAAATGCTATTATTCTTATTGGTGCAAATGGGAGATCTAAGGCCAGGGATTCTTGACTCCAAGACCTATATCAGAAGTGGAACTGGATCATGAGTCTATTATCACTTCTTGCATGAACCCAGAGACCAGTTCTATTATGGGGTTAGAAACAGGCTAGTGAAGTAGCTTAAGAACGGTAAGGTTGTCCTGACTCTTCACCTCCATTTGGGAGCCACATTTTCCTGTAAACAAATGGCTTCTCTCTTCCCTGATGAAGTGTTTTACAGCAGCAAAAGGGCCCTGTATCAGAAAGGGTTCTGATAGGTAGAAACAGTTCGGTTCCTCCAGAGCAGTGGTTTTGAACCTATGAGTTGTGACCTCTTTGGGAGTCAAACAACTCTTTTCATAGGGGTCGCATATAAGACAACCTACATATCAGATATTTACATGTATGATTCATAACAGAAGTAAAATTAAAGTTATAAAGTAGCGATGAAAATAATTTTATGGTTGAGGGGGTGATCACAGCATGAGGAACTGTAGTAAGGGGTCGAAGGATTAGGAAGGTTGAGAAGCACTGCCCTAAAGGGATGAGCTTGTGTGATGTTTTATATTGATCTTATTGTAAAGACCCACAGCCTACACCAGGGATGGTGTGATTATAGCCTTTTGACTTTGAAAACCTTACCCTCTATCTATTGTCTGGACACCAAGAGTCTTTTCTCAGGCAATGCCTACTCTTGTTCTGCCCATTAGAGTCTTATTTGGCTTAATAAAGTGTGTTGATCTGTGACTTGGATGATTTCACTTGCACTGAAACTCGGGTTGAGCTGTATTTTCACTGAGGAGGCTGAGGTATTTCAGTCTGAGGTTGTCTGTGTTCTACTGAGTTAGTTTCCCAGTGTATTTATAACCTGTATCCTCAAGTTTGTAAATTGGAGCAGAAGCACAGGCCACAACAGAGGGTAGAGTTTGTCTCTTTCCTTATAAACCCAGTTTAGCTGCCTCCCTTTTGGTTAAAGTGACTGCTTTTCAGCTTTTTGGACAAATCTTTGTTCATCTTATCTCTGATGTTCCTCTTCAGAGGTAGGGACATCTGGGCCATACTAGCTTGGCTAGTAAGCTATCTATTCCTGTATCTTTGAAACAACCTAGAGTCTTCACATCCCAGGAGAAGATAAGATGGAGTTCCCAATGCCCCATGGGTCTCAGAGGGGAAATAGAACATGAGTCAAGAAAATCAGAAGCCAAATGTGACAGTTTCTGGCAACTCATGAGTATTAACTTGATGAAGGAGTCAGACACTCTAGAGCTGAGAAGAACAGGGCGAGGAGAACTTGTCTGCACGGGCATTTCTTCCTTGGCAGGAACTGAATAGTCCTTCTATTCCAGGAGGAGCACTGCCTAAGTCCATGTGGGACTATCACCTTCATCTCTCACAGACCAGGAGTTGAGCACAGAGTAGCATGAGCTTGAAAATTGTCTCATAAAGAAGAGTGTTAGGGATGGAGGAGCACCTGGTGGGTCCAGCCTTCCGTCCTATCATGAGTGTAAGGAGTAACAGTCTAACACTTGGGTAGAATATACTGATACAATGCTTTCATCTATAAAATGTGTATAAGAGTTCCCAACTCTTCGAATGCCTTGGGATGGGAGAACAGAGGGAAAGATACCACTTAGCTTTCAGTTCAGTCACCTAGAGCTGTGTGGGCTTTTAAACTGAGCCTAGAGGTTCTTATCTGCAAATGGGATATGATTCTGCATCACAGAGGGTTGTTCTACTGATCAAATAACAAAGTCCTTACAGAGAGATGGAATTAAAATTGTTAATTCACCCACACCTCCCCTCTAAAATCAATAAGATTTGCTTTCTTTTGGTCAAAGAATGAAGGGGGACTAGCAGACTCTTAACTGGGCATCCTATCAAGATTCAGAGAGCTATTTATATTTAGATCGAGCACTGTGACTCTGGAGGCAAGTATTGTGACCTGAGTTAGAAGAACACACGAGAATTCTTTCCAAGACCTTTACTGATGTTAACTTTTTAATCCTCACCGTTACCCCAGGAAGCAGACTCTAAAGCACAAATAGGCAAGACATTTGCCCAAGGTAAGACAAGTGCCCAAGTAAGAACAACAGAGGAACACACTCAGTGTGGATCTTGAGGCCCCACATGATAGGCATAGGCTGTGTGCTTGAACAGCATGCACACACATGTATACACCACACACACATACATGTATATACCACACACATGTATACACTACACACATGTATATACCACATATACACATGTATACACCATACACATGTATATAGCACACACATGTACACACATGTATATTACACACACACACATCCCTCACATACATGCTAAAATAATAAAAATAAATATTACAAAATCGCACAGGAGCTTAGTGATCCTGATGCGCTGGAGGGGCTCTGGCTGCTAGAGGAACCAGTGAGAAGAGGCAGGAACAGGCATGCCAGCTTTAGAGAAGAGAGCGAACTTGTTCTCTCTTCCCCACCTTTCACAGGAAAGGCAATTGTCATGAAGAGTCACTGGACCTGGAGTTGGTGCCAGGAGAGCTTTCTTCCTGAAAACCCTAGCTGTTGTTTATTTAGCATTGGGCATGGATGGGGGGGAGTGTTACCATTGTTTCCTGAGTCTGGGTCAATGCCAGTGACTCTAGGACCCTAGCTTTGGTGGACCCAGAGTCATGTTTTCCACTGAACCCAGTGTGTAGATTATATAGGTTGAGCGTTCCTTGTCCTAGGAACGCTTAGAAAATGCTTAGGATCAGAAGTGGTCTCCATTTTAATTTTTGGACTATTTTTAGATATGTGATACGATATATTGGGAATAGTACCCAAGTCTAAACATATCCTTAAGGAAATTTTATATATTTTTAATTTGACTATGTTTTAGATTGATACCCTATACCTGATGTCTAGTGTGGAATTTTCTGCTTGTGTGATATTGGCATTTCAGATTTTAGAATTACAGATTTAGGAATACTCAACCTATAATTACTTAATTAACTAATTATTTATTTAGAGACAGAGTCTCTGTGTAGCTGAATTCTAACTCACAATCCTGCCAACTTCCCCTGTTAGCCCCACAAGTATAAGGATTATAGGTGTGTTCCAGTTGCAAGTATTTTCTAAATTAAGTGGTTTGTTTTGGTAAGTGATATCTAAGTGTCTTTAAAACCATATCAGAAAGGATGTATCAAGATATTGTTTAGAACTCCTGGGTGACTTTATATCATTCACATTAACTTGTGAAGGTTTAGTTACCTCACCTGTAAGATGAGATGGTGTCTACCCTTCCCAGCTTCTTGGTGTTTGGGGGTAGGAACAAGATGAAGCCGTGAAGTCCAAGCGCAAGTGGATTTACTGAATGAAAGCCGAAGTGATGGGGCTTCTTGTGAATGAACCCCGCAGATCTAGAGGTGTGCTAGGAAGCAGCTAGTAGTCACAGAGCTAGGTGTTCTCCTGACTCCTGGTTCAGTTCTTTGAGCTATGACACCACATCCAGGACCAGCAGAAGCATGAATGGAAAGTTCCATATGTGGCTTAGAGCCGAGTATCTACTTTCAGCTACCAGATAGATACCTTCTCCCCAAATCCCCGAAACTGGCACATCCCTCTTTATAGTCAAGAAAGCTCTAAATATCTTAGCAGCAGGGGAGAGGGTTAATAAAAAGTGTCTTACAAAATGTGTGTGTCTGGTTGTCCCCAAGTATGGTGGCAGTTACACAGATGGAACTGGTGCAGAGGACAGAGCTAGGCTGGCACTGTCCTTCGGTATTGGCTTAGGAATATTGTCAGGATGGATAAGGCTGTGAGGCTGAGACTGGTGGTTGCTTGGGTGCTGTGTTAGGGGATGCACCAGGCACAGGGCTGCTGTCTGTACCTAGAAGGTGGCTCTGTTCTCCACTTATTCTATTACTCTATGAGGACATTGTTCTCCGTTTAAAGCAGGGCAGAGTGACACCATAATGGATATTTGTTTTTAGTGGCACAAATATGTGGAGGCAAACCTGGATCGCAATTAGAAATGATTTGAGAGCCTCAGAGAAGCCCAGAAAAAAAAAGAATCTAATGTGGCCACCTTAAAAAAGGTACCCAAGACTATGTGCTTTGTTGTATGGTCTGCATCCAGATCTGCCTGCTGCTCAGTTCATTATTGAGAACTTGAACTAAATTAAGATGCCCCCAAGTTAATGCTATATTGCTACACTTCACACATTTTCTTATTTGAACCCACCCTGTCCAGCAGTGATAACTGTTATTTTTAAATCCTCATTTTACAGATTAAGACTTAGGCTCAGAAAGATCGGGTACTCTGTAAGTTAGTAACTTTAGGAGGATAGGGGAACTTGGGTCTAAGGGTAAAGGGAATGTTGGCAACAGACATTCTTCTCTCCTCATCTATGATATTTTGCAGAAAAGGGTGAGGCATGCCATATACATATCTGCCTTTCATTAGACCACTGGGATATGCCCCTGTACTCCCTGTGACATACAGTCACACAGTCGACCCTGTTCTTCACCCTCTCTGTGAGGCTGATATCTGGGAGAGTGGTAGATCATCCGAGCTAAGATCCCAAGGAGCATCCTATCCCAGGATCCCAGGCAGCACACTTACATTTAATACTTCCTTCTCTCCAGGTGATCCAGTTTCGGGCACAGCCTGCCAGCCAGTATGCGCCCCTGCCCTTCTAGAAGCTTCCAGGAAGGCACTGGTGACTGCTGTCAAAACTGAAACTGTGCTCTGGGCTTGACCCGCACCTGGCTCTTAAAGGGCCGTTGTCCCATAGTCAAGGTAGCCAGCCAGAACACGTGACTCCCACAGATCCTTGCTTTCCTGGCTGGCTTCATTTGTTCTTCCCTGTACTTGGGGAGACTCCGTCATGCGCAGAGCCTCCATTGTTGCAGCTTCAGGATATGGGACAGAATGTCTCCTTAGTGTTTGGTCTTACTTCCCCAGTCACTAGGGATTGCCCGGTTCCCATGACTCCCTGATATGGACCCTGAAACGCCACTCTTTGGGCACCATCTGCAAAGTTGCCCTTTTCTGCCTAGAGCTTTCAGTACTTTGGAATTGCTCTTCTTCTCTTTTCAGCCCGGACTCTACCTGAGCTCCCTAAAGCTGAGCTGAGTGTGTAGAGAGCCGTGCATGGCTATCTATAGAAGAGGACTCCCATGAGCTGAGTTGAGATAGCAACTTGCTTCCTCACTACAGCAAGTCCAGGTCGTGACCTATTTGGGTCTCCTAGATAATCTCCAGATAATCATAGCCTTCCTGTGTCACACAAATGAAGCCTACTGTCCCACATACATTCCCCTACACTCTCACAACCTCCCTTGTCCCCTTGAAGTTCTACAGACTGTACCTGGGCAGGCCTCACCTGCTCTTCTTTCAAGAGTTTTAAATTAATTTCCTAAATCAAACTCCCAGAAAGGGAAGGAGAAAAGGAGAAAGGGCTAGAGATATAGGAGGGTCAGATAGGCATACCTGTGAGCTCACTCGTGTTCAAGATAAGCTCAGATCTTGATGGAAAGAGAAGAAACGATTTTTTGTTACAGAGCTCAACTGAAGATCATAAATCCACAATCTGACCGGTGCAAGGAACAAAACAAAACCATGGTCACTTCCAGGAAAGCTCAGTCCAATTCAATGGCATTTCAGATTGGATTTCTTTTTCCCTTTGTCTTCCTTTTCCTCCTCTGGGTGGCAACACTGCTGCTGGGCCCATGATTTTGGTCTTGGTTTGCTGCGCTGCTGTGTCAGTCTTGTTCCTCAAAAAGAAAAAGGTGGTTCTGTGAACTAAGATTGAACTCCCACCTGGTCAGAGAGACCTTTTAGCCTTACTCATTCCAAGGGCTTTGCAGTACACACACTCTGGGCTTTCTTGTTGCTATAGCTCAGCTTTTTCAGTAGGTCTTCGGGGCTTCTCAGCCCTCCTTTGTTCTTGTGATTGCGTTGTGAACTTATCCGTAGCTTCCTGTGGTCTCTGGGAAAACCAGGCTCCCATAATGCCTATGTATCTTTTGAACTGCAGAGCTCATGTGTCATTGGAAGAACAATGGGAAATGGCAAGGCGGTGGACCACGGGTAGTTTAGAGAGGACAGGCAGTATTGCAGCCTGCTGACTCTGGAACCTCTAAACTGTCCTGATATCATTGTTCTCCTCTCTTCTGGAGCTCAGGCTCAGAGCCATGGTTGCAAGCGGGAGGTCATGGAGACACATTGGTAACTGACTTTCTTCCTCACCAGCAATTTCCTCCTCCCCGTTCCAAGGTGGATGATTATAGGGAAATGTGGAGGGAGGGGAGATATGTGGGGGCAGAGATGACACAAGCCTGTTTCTGCCATCTGAAAGCTCTTTACACAGTTTTCTGTTCTGTGTCTCCTATTTAAACTCAATAGTCAAGGTACTTGTAGGATATGTTTGCTTCTCCTCAAAGCAGGGAATAGCTTGTGTCTAGTTGTCTGGGGTAGAGTAGGTACTAAGGCATGCCCCTGAATATTTGCACAGACACTTGCTGAAGAAAGGCTTTGCAGGAAGTAAGGAAGTATATCAACCAAACCATCCTTTCTTTGCTGCCTGCAGGTGGAGGCTGGACTTCTTGACTACTCCATAACTCCAGGATGGTGGCTGGCTCTCTAGATCATGTCCTGGTGGCACATGTTCCCAGCGGTGTCCAGAAGTGTTTTAGCAAACCACGTTAACACATGCCTCCACAAGAGAAACATCCACATTCTCCACGTACCCCCACTTAGTGGGAAAGAGGAAATATAAAAGTAGAACCCCATGAATAATCAGGAAGTAAAATTCCTGTGGCCAGTTTTGAGTCCAGCCACAAGCTGGTGGAGTGAACACAGAGACTGGCTTCCTCCCTCACATGGCAGCTTCCCTCTCTAGAACCCAAGGAATGACTCTTGCATCCAACTCTGAGGAAAGAGGGGCTGGCTCACAGCTAGGTAATGTGTCTATGTTCAACTTAGTAAGGATGATAACATTACTTTCCAAAACCAACTTCATTTGCTCAAGCCAACCTTCTTCTAGAAATAAGAAAATACGACCTGTTTTCATCCAGCATGGGGAGGATCAGAACCACAGGGCCTGAGTTAACATGCTTGTATTTTGGCTTTGGCTTGACCCCTAAACTTGTTGAGCGACCTTTGCAGAATCACTTCCTCTTTAGCTTGTAGGTTTTTCGTATGTTAAATGAGAGAGCATTTGGCCAATTGGGTCATGAGGCCTTTCCAATTGTAGGTCACTGTGTGTCCGCTGAGCACTGTCCATATTTGTTGTGGGGGCTGTAACAAACAACCACAATCTTAGTACCGATAAGCCACAGAAATATATTCCTCTTCAGTTCTGAAGAATAGAAATCTAGAATCCAGGTGGCAGCAGGACCACTCTCCTTACGAAGACTCTAGAGGAGTAAATGTTTGTTTTTGCTTCTTCTAATGTCTAATGTCTAGCTTCTGCTAGTGTTCCTTGACATCCTTTGATGAGCAGCCGAACCTTCCAGGCTCTGCCTCTACAGTCACTTTGTCCTTAGTGCATGTCTTCCGAATCTGTTGCCCTTACTATATATGACATTTTCGATAGCATTTAACGTCCAATCGCATCATCTGGGATGATTTCTTTGTCTGATTATCCTGAGTTTAATCCTAAATATGGCCACCTTTACAGGCTTCTGGGAATAGAATGTAGATATAACTTGTTGAATAGGTTTATTACAGACATCTACTCTGATCGTGACCATTAAGAGATCCAGAGAACTGAAAATCTGCAGAAGCGTGTATTGTTGCTTCCTCAGGGTGTATAGTCATCACTCACATACAACACTGCCTTGCATAAGCCAGGAGGTAACAAGCCTGCAGAGACAGTACAGTCTGTGAGAAGGGACAGCCTCTGTGTGTAGACTGTCCTGGATTCACACCCAGATCTTTCCATCTGCCAGCCATGATGCCTTGGACCAGTGACTTAATATCTTTGGGCCTGATCATCCTCAATCCATAATGATGTTATAAAATTAATATGTTTAAGAGAATGAACTTAGCAGACATTCCTCATTCAGTGTCAGACACCGGGCAGAACAGGGACTCAGAACTAAGAGTAATTCTGCACTGAACAACGAAATTCATAGGCACAGATGTGGAATGATGTCCAAGCATATTTTGAAAGGAAGTGGCAGAGATAGGCCTATAACTAAGACCTTCCTGCACTGGATACCCACCATCCAACCCTACCCTTGCTGCTTACAAAAGCCTTCACATTAAGGATGACCATTTTGAGTTACATTTCCATGGGCAGCAAGGGTTTCCTATTTACACGTTTGTTTGATTCAGTGGATTGTAGAAGGTCAAGCCCATACAGGTCCAACCTTAGGGACTCATTAGCTTCATGCGCTAAGACTATAGATTGATCCAGTCCCCGATAGAGCAGGATCTCTACACTATACGTCCATTCCTCACTTGCACGTCCTGTCCGTTACCAATCTGGAGTTTTGACCTGGTTCATTTTTTTCCTGCCAGTTAAGGAATTATAAGGCAAAGAAAAAGTCTGAGACACAGCAGTCAACCAGTGCAGAAAGATGTTTATTAGGAGTGAGGAGACACACACAGCACAAGACACACACACACACACACACACACACACACAGAGAGAGAGAGAGAGAGAGAGAGAGAGAGAGAGAGAGAGAGAGAGAGAGAGAGAGAGAGCCTTCAAAGCTAAGACTTGATAGCCTAAAGTTGTTTCTTTCTGAGGGCTCAGGGATTTAAGGGTCTTTGGTGGTGTGTGTGTGTGTGTGTGTGTGTGTGTGTGTGTGTGTGTGTGTGTTCCTTCCCTAACTTAGGGTTGATCAGTTTTAACAAAGACAGGGAGACTGATAGGCCCACAATTCCAGGGTGGGGGAGGGTAAATATGTCCTGATTTAGGCTTGAACTTGTTGGACCTATACAAAGGCCCACCAGGCCTTTAGGAATCAGGAATGTGAGGACGAAGCTGGACGAGTGCCATCTTTATTATCTCCTGGTGACCCCTCTTTCTATGTGTCTGCATACCAGGAATCTGTCGGATCTGTAGTCCTTCACATCTAGGAGGGGACGGTCCCTGTGACTGTCAGTTTTCAAGGTGAATGAAAGAAAACTGAACAGATGAAGTGCTGTTTGCCATCAGCTCTGCTCCCATCCGTAGGTCTTTATCTAAGTCAATATTTAACCCTTGTCCCCGAGTCAATGTTTAATCCCAGGAGAGCTAGTTGTATAATCCAGCATTCCCTATCAAGCAGACAGTATAGTCAGTTTGATATTAATCACAGTGAATCTGCCAAGGCTGAATTGTATCTCTCCACCTTTGAAAAGGCTATCAGTTCTTTGGAATTATTCACTCCAACAGTAGCCCATCAGCAGATAACGATATAATTTCCTGACCCCATGACCTCTGACAATGCTCCTTTTCCTTGCTCCAGTTCTGCCTGGTGCTTGTCGGAGAGGAGCATGAAATGGGGCTATTGCCTCTGTTTGTCCAGCTAGCAGCCCAAGGGCTCTAGCTAGCAGCAGATGATATGTGCTCCTTGTTTTGAATCACAGTAGGAGAGATGGAACTGAAAAAAGTCCATTTGGCTGACACTGGGCAAGTTTGCTAAAACTTGCTGAGCCTAGACTGTAATGCCCCACTCCCTGCAAGCAAGTCTTCCTTTTAAGGGGCAGGCAAAGAGAAGGGAGATTGATTATAAGCAACCCCGTTTGTCTGGGTATTGGG